TGAGTAAAATTTTTCAAAACAAATTACACCTTAACTCAATTGTCTAACTTAAGGCGTGTTTGGAATGCCGTTGGGAAGGGAGAATGTGCATTGGAAAGAGTGAAATTTCAGTTAGTGGCTTATTTAAAGGTAATATATTATTTGGATTAACTTTTGAGCAAATGAGCTTTTGAGAATAGCTAGATTGAAACAACAGTCAAATTTTGTAGCTTTTAGAAAAAAGCCAACGTGAAGAGAGAAAAAGATGACCATGAGATGAGAGATGAGTACATTAAAATGTGTCCTATTTTACCTTAACAAAAATAAAAATTACTCCAAAAATACTCAATCATTATATATTCCTATAGTCTTATTTATAAGGTAGAAAGAGAAGGTTTTTCTTGATTCTATTTATAAGTCACTTCATTAAATTTTTGACATGAATATACAATTTTTTCCTTCATTTATTATAGTGTATATAGTTATTTTTCTAAAAAGGTACATATATTAAATAGGATAAAGTTGAAAAGTTATTATATTTTAATAGAGAGTTAATGCAGTTTAAAGTTTTTTTAGTCTGTGTTAAACAAGTTGAAAGTATCTTATAAATAGAACTAGAAAAGTATGTTTATAAAAGTATCCAAAAAAAATTAAATAATAAATTGAGAGAAAATTGGAAAAAATTTCTTCATTAAAAATTTACTGGTGATGAAGACTTAATAAATTTTTTATACACACATGGTAGCAGCACTTTGCAAATTAATTTTGTATATAAACCCTTTAATTATATCCTTTTTATTAATTTAAAATCCCTATTATAATTTTCTCACTAAAAGATATTTTTATTTTATAATTATAATTATAATTATTTTTTAACAAGTATCACACTAAAATCATATAATATAAAATTATTATTCAATAAAATTCATGTTCGTTTTACTCATTTATATGGAAAATTATCTTTTTTATTAATTATCCTAATAAATTTTAATTTTTAACTGACTTTTTATATAAGTATCAATTCAAACATAAATCACATTATACTACCTAACTTTTATCTTTAACTTAAATTTGCAAAAGTCAATTAGAATAAAAGTGACTTTTGACACCGCTAATCTGAACACATCCGACGGGTAGATGTAATAAAATAGCATGTTTAGATGCAAAATGACTAAAAAGGACATAGGTATTACAAAAATAAAAGGAATTAAAGTATTATTAAAAATTATAAATTCTAAAAAATATATTCAGTAAATAAAATATAATTATATGTAAATATGAAATTCATAAAATAATATAAAAACATATTAAAAAATTATTCTAAGTCTTTTTAATGATAAAAATAAAAATATATGTTTATGTAAATATATATAATGTATAAAAAAACACTACTATTAAAAATTAAAAATATTACAAAATATGTTAAAAATTATTTTACATCTATTTTCATTATTGCCTGGTGATGATATAGGTTCAGTGAAGAAGTATTCTAACAACATGAACAAGCCAAAAAAAATAGTTTTGGCTCAATGTAGGGTTTGAGATGAAAGTTCGTTCTGAACAACTGCTAATTCAAACACTAAAAAATAGCTTCTCTTTCAAAATGTAACTTTTCACAAGTTCTAAAACATGTTTTAGTTTCAGAACGGTAATCTAAACACATGCTAAAAAAGTTGGGTTTACCAAATCACCACTCTTTAGAATTAAGGCATAGCCTCCGTATTCCATGATCATACTGTTATAAATCACGTACTACATTCTCGAAAATTGTAGATCCCAAATTACTCTTTCGATCCTTAATATAAGACCTATTTAACTAATTTGATTAAATTAAGAAAGTTAGGTAAGTTAGTTAATTATAAAAAATGTGATACGTTTTTTTAAAAAAACCATAATCATCTTTCTTAATACCTCATCTCCCTCTTCTACTTGATTATGTTTGAGGGAGTATTCATAGGGGTAATTTAGAGAAAACTGATAAATATGATAAATGGTTCTTATATGTAGAATAAAAACTAACTTAATAATTGGGTCTTATATTAAGGACCGGAGGAGTAGATAATAATGCTGATTCCAAAACGGGTCTTCCATTAAAACCAAAGCTTGAGATGGTTTATTCAATTGTGAGGGTTGAACGGGAAAGTGTCAGAAGCAAAAACCATCAGCAAATGGCACAACTTGGAGGTTGGCCATCAGATTTTGACCCAACCTTGCTGCGACAATGACACCAACAAGCATTTAACGCCATTGAAATGTAATCTGAGAACATTAATTTTTATTGGAACTCTTTAATTTGACCATCAAACGACAACAGGGATAACGTGCAAGAAGGGGGTGACACGTGTCAGGATAAGCATTGGTTAGAAAATTGACCACGTAGCCAACCACAAGCCGTTGGATGGCGGAGAAATCTGACCGTTGATGATTTATGGTCTAATCTAATTGGTTAGGTTTGTGTGATGATGGTGAAACTGATGGCGAACGTGGGGGTGATGCGGACGTTAAACATTGAAGGCCACAATCACAAGCTCGACAGTCAAAGGGCCGGTGGTTTCGCTTATCTCAATCACTTGTTTGGAGCATTAACCTTCAACCCAAAAGACAACCCTATATTATTATTATTATTAGTTATCACCAGCTATTTCTGACTTTTGACCGATGATTTCTTTTTTAAAAAAAAAACAGAATTTTTGGGTTTATTTAAGAAACTTTGATTATATTTTGAAGTTTTTATTTCAATTCAATTTTAATTGGTATTGAAAATCAAACCGGTTATTAAACATGTTAGAACAATGATTCTTAGTAGGATTTGCTCAATCATGATTAAAATAATATAATTTAATTAAAATGTATAAAAATATGCATATATGACCATGAAAAAAGTATTATTTTAATAAAAGAAGACATTGATCCATAAGTATATGCAACATTTAAGTGTAAACCATATATAATCCCAAAAAGTAAAGTTGCCAAACGGACTGCTACCATGTTCTTTTCCTGAAAATTTGAGAAGTGTCCTTGTGGTTGAAACGGCTTTAACCTTAACGTTTATAATCTAATAAAAATTAGTTTTAGGTTCAAAATAACTGTAATATATGCTGAGTTACCAAAAAAAATAGACTGCTAGTATATTCTTATACTGAAAATCACATCAATCCAAACTTGGTAAGGGGAGGAGAAAACCATAAAATTTAACTTAGTTAAATTGTCCAAAAGCTCCTACACAAATCAGTTAGAGGATTGGCTATCAATTTACTGGCTTAATTACGTTGTACACCCTCTGGTCCTTAGTATAAGACCTATTTTATAGTGTAAATTGTACTACAAAATAGGTTTTACATTAAAGCTTGGAGGAGTATTTTAATACTCCTTTTAGTTTTAAATATATGATCCATTTTGTAGTATAAATTACAATTAGAATAGGAGGAGTATTATAATTTTAATTTGTGATCAGCTATTTTTTTGAATGAGAGTTGATCGGCTAAATTATTCTATCCATTCATAACCTTATTATGGTTATGTTATTTTTATAAATTTTCAGATTATAATGATTAGAGTCAAAGCGTAATTATTAGCAAATTTTAATTAGTGATACTGAAGTTTGAATTCCTAGCCTGATTAATCTTGTAAATTTGAGAATCTTCCAGATGAGAACGTGTAGTGCATTAATCTGATCCACTTTAGATTTACATTAATAATCCAATAAATTCATATCAAAATAATAAAGTCCTTGTTCTTTTTTGGCAAAACATTTTTTTAAAAAAAAAATTGTATTACATGTTACATGATTAAAAAAAAAACAGGAGTTGTATTTCTTACTCTTATAGTTTGTAAACAAGCAACTCATTATTTGCAATGGAAAATACCTAGACTAAGTTATTTGTATCCATTATATCAATGTAAGTGTATAATTAAATGTTAATATTCTAAAAATAGTGCACATAGTCATGAAGAACTTAACATAATAGATATAAAGAACTTAATGTAAGTGTTATCTTTTAGAATGAAAAATATTTGAGTCAAGTTTTCTATATCCTTTAGAATGAAAAATACTTGGATTAAGTTTCTTATATTCATGTCAAGTTTTCTAATCACACATAACTATGTGTTTTTATTTTTTTATATGGGTTTAGAATCGATTACTATAAAATACTAATATTTTAAAAATAATACACATAGACATGCATGATTTAGAATTTAAAATAATAAATACAAGTAACTTGATGTCATCTTAAAATAATATCAGTTCAAAATAACCGTAGCAACTGAAATATTTTGTACATGTTTTTTTAAAAAAACACTAGAAAGGAACAGAGAGTTATCAATCCTGTTAAAAAGTTATCCAAAATTTTATTTATTAAGATATCTATATTAATGGAAATATTGTACAAGTAAATTAACCAAATTAAACGAAACCAATCCAGTCAATTAGTATTAATTAATGTTAATATAGAAGGTAACGTTCATATAAATTCACAATATTCATAAGTCTTAATATTACAATGAAATATCAATGTCAAAAAAAATTGCAATGAAATATTTATTTGGGCGGGGATGGCAAAGAAAAAAAAGACAAAAATTTGTAGAACATTGAAAAAAAAATAATTACTATTTTCAATTCTAATTATAAAATTTTATTTATAGTTTATAAATAAATAAGATCATGAAATATTTACTACTGTAGCTTTTAGAATAATTACTTACCAGTGAAAATAACTTTTTCCATAAAAAAAAAAAAGAAAATAACTTTTTTTGGAGACAGAGCCTGACACGCGCATGTGCGCGTCACTCTCGCACTCTCCCAGAGGCTGCTTCTCGGCGCTCGCATACATATATGCCTCACCAAACGCATCTCTCAAACTCAAAAACAGATTCTCTTTCGTCTCAGTTTTCTTTCTCGCCCTCGTGGCTGTATCTCTTTTCTACTCTTCAGATCCGTTTTGCGTTAGCCGATCCGACCCGTTCCTGAACGACCTAACGGACTCTCTTCTCTTCTGTTAATTCGATCGATACTCGCCAGGATGGCAGATCCTCAGATTAGTAAACTCAGCGCCGGAAGCCGGCAGCAGCCGAGTCGATTGCAGCGGCGTGCACCGTCATCGTTATTGATAAATCGGTCATGCGAGTGGAACGTTGCGATTCCACTTTTGTCGCCGACGATGGAGGAACTACCGCCGGTGGTGACTTCGACGGAAGGAGCGCCGCCGAAAGAGCAGCCGCAGCAACAGAAAAGGCTTCCTAGTGCGGAGCCGGAGAATGTGGTTTTCCAGAAGTGGCAGCATCCGGCGGCACCATTCTGCTACGATCCGCCGCCATCTACGGTGGTCGCTCCGTTCGTCCCGGTGGAGTTGTGAAGAAGCAGCAGGTGGGAGGATGATCGGATGGTTGAGAATAAATCAGGAGAAGATCTGACGGTGTATGTTTGGTGGAAAAGCTTTTTCTGATTTTGCTTACGTAGGATATAAATATGAACATGATTTTGCCAAAAAAGTCCATACAAGTAGCCAAGGAGGTATGATTGACAAGTCCATAGAAATTTTAACCTGTGAACGAGAAACTTTTCAACTTCCTTTTTTTTACTTTTCTAGATGATAATGATGATGATGATGGATTTACGAGTAGCTTTTTCACTCCTCCTTTTTGAACTAAAAAGTTAAATCCCCCAAAAGTTACTGCAAATATAAATTATAGGCATACTTTATGTGTGTTTGCATATCACGCTATTTAGATTTAGTGATATATTTTAGGCAGAATTACAAGTCCCAGCGAAAAAAATTTAATTCTCTTAAAATTTATTGACAAGTGAAGATTAAGAATAAGTAATGATAAGTAAGAAATAATAATAACTTTAGGTTCATCGCTTATCATTAGGATTTTTTGTAATTAAATTTTTTGTTAAGACCTTTTGATGATTCTCTTTATTTTTTATTGTATTAAAATTCAATTGAGTAAATTTTCTATTCTTTTAATTTCTTTTGTAACTGAAAAAAGTTGTTGAATCCACATAAATTACAACAAACATAAATGGGTTAATAGTATTTTTACTCTCCGTAAAATTTGAACTTAATGGTTTTGGTTATTTTAGTCTATTTAAAGGGTTTTAGACCTTAGAATATTGCTCTTCTTGTTACTAACGTAGATCTAATTTAAGATTTAATATTAATATTATATGTAAAACTTATCTTACATGTTTCTTTAATTTTTTTTAATCAAATTATCTTATATATAAGGGTTATATCACATGTTTATCAATATGTTTTTAAATTAATTTTTTAGTGTTGTTACTTCAACAATAATCACATAGGAGAGAAAGAGAAGAAATTAAGGAAGTTGATTAAGTGTTTTAGAAGAAACATATCATATTAATTAATTTAACTAATATTTTTTATCTATTTAAATTAATTAATTAGGTTTTATATTAAAGACTGTCAGAATTTTTTTAAAGATTGAAATTGAAATAAAGTCAGATTTTATGAATCAATTTCAAATTTTAGGGAAAAATAAAATGAAGTTAAATTTTAATAAGCAAAGCCATTAGCTTTAAATTTACAAAAACCACAAGTAAAATAAGATTAAATTTTATGTTAACATTGTAGTATTGTACTACTATATTAGTTAAAGATACGAGAAGTTACGTCATGCTGAGTCGGTAATAACAATTTTTTTTCCTTTTTTTCTTGGCCATGGCCAACTAATGGCTCCGTACGCTTGCCTTGCTTGGCATCGGGCATCTCGAGCCAAGCCACATGTTGTGTTTTGCACTTTAGGTAAATCCCTAAATCAAATTCTTGTGAAAGTCTAAAAGCCAAAATTAACAAATTGAAATTACGAGAATAAAATCAAAATCCGGTCAAATCGTAAGGATTAACAATGATGTTAATCTAAAAATTTTTCAGCTCCCCTTTGATAAGCTCAAAAAAGGAGCTTGGGCAGAGGCTAACGTATAAGCATAGCTTTTCACCTCTTTTTCAATATATGTATTTTTATAATGTGAAATTTAATATAAAAATAAAAAGGGAAAATCTGTAAAGAAAAGGTTTGAATATGTAAAATTCCAATCCAGACAACTAATACTTAAAAATGATAGTAAAGGAAGTAAGGCTTGAATCGCCATTTTGATAATATCGTGAAATTACTCATATATCCATCTGTGACAAAAAAAATTCATGAAACTTGTTAATTCCAATTTAATATTACTCATTTTTCAGTTCACAGCTTATTAATTTATTAGCTAACTAAATAATAGAGAACCCAAAAAGGTTATGAAACTTATAATTTATAGTTCAACGTGTTGGAATATTTTTAAAACAAAAAAATATGTTTTTTGAAAAGTCATGTCCTTATATAAATTTATTATATTAATAAATATGAGGGGTTATGTCTTCATATAAATTAATAAATTTATTTAAAAGGTTGTGTCTTCATATAAATTAATATATTTATATGAAGGGTTATATAGGAAGTTAAACCATTAAATGAACCTACATATTAAATACATTGTATTTAACAAAGGGTCATCTAGAAAGTTAAAACGTTAAATGAACCTACATACTAAATTCATTGTATTTATTTAAATTATGTTGGTTCATGAACCAACATATGGTTGTGACCTTTTATTTAATAAGTTTTATTCTAAAAAGTATCTTTTCAAGGCATCATTTTATGGTCTATATAAACCCTTCACCATCACTTCATTTGGAGAAAACACAACATGAACATTAAGATCAAATTCATTGCCTTTGTCTTTGAGTGCATACAAAGATAGAGTCAAATTATCACTTTGTAAAAGCCATTATTGCTTTTACTTGAATTTTGGAAGTGCAATCCATATTCAATGGTCTTCATTGTATCCTGAAGGAAATTTGCTAGTCAACTCAACTTGCACCCTAAAAGATAGGAATAGGTAGGGGCGAATTAAGCCTAAAAGAAAGTGATGCCCACGCCTTGAAGACATCATGCACCATTTTCTTCTTCATCTCTTCTTCTTATACTCTTTAGAGAACCATTCCCATGAACAGTCTTTAGGATTAATCCGCAAGTACAAATGGCTTCTTTGAAGGAGTTGACTGTAAATTTTGTGAAGTTGGAGAGATTTGAAGGAGGCAACTTTCTAAGATGGCAGAGGAAGATGAAATTTCTTCTCACAACTTTGAATGTGGCCTATGTTCTCACCACTCCCAAGCCTCAAGAAAAAGAGGATGAGACCATTGTTGAAATTAGAGAGAGACAGAAGTGGGAGAATGATGACTATATCTGCACTGGACATATCCTCAACAGCCTTTGTGACACTCTCTTTGATATTTATCAAGATACAACCTCTGCAAATGATCTTTGGGACAAACCTGAGGCAAGGTACATGCAAAAAGATGCTACAAGTAAGAAATTTCTTGTCACTCGTTTCAATAGTTATAAAATGCTTGATGGAAAGTCTATCATGGAGCAAATGCATGAAATTGAACATATTTTGAATAATTTCAATCAACATAAAATGCATATGGATGAGTCTATTATTGTCTCCTCAATCATAGACAAACTTTCTCCTTCATGGAAAGACTTCAAAAAGAGTTTCAAACATAAAAAGGAAGATATCTCTCTTGAACAATTGGGAAATTATCTTCGTTTAGAAGATGAGTATAGAAAGCAAAACACTGAAAAGAAAGCCAATACTCAAGAGAAGGTACATGTGGTAGAGGAAGGACAATCCAATAAGACCTCAAAGAAAAGAGGGAAGGATAAAGACAAACCCCAAGCATAGGATGGTCACAAGAATAAGAAAAGGAAAGGTAATTGCTTCTTTTGTGGAAAAGGTGGTCATTTCAAGAAAAACGGTCGTTTTTTCAAAAAAAAGAAAGAGAAAGAGAACAAGTCATCTACAAAAGAAGACAATTTTGTGACATTAATTTTTGAAATCCACCTAGTTGATAATAATGAATCATGGTGGGTGGACTCTAGTGCCACACGTCATGTGTACAAAAACAAGAACTTTTTCAAAACATTGAAGGAGGAAGATGGGGATGTACTTTATATGGGAAATGCATCAGCTGTCCAAGTCAAGGGCAAAGGGACCGTGGAAGTTGAATTCACTTCTGGAAAAACTCTTACTTTAAGAGATGTCTATTATGTACCGGAAGTTAGGAAGAATTTAATTTCTGTATCTTTACTTAATAAGTTTGGGTTTAAGTCTATATTTGAGAGAGATAAGTTTGTTCTCACTAAGGGTGGAACATTTGTGGGCCAAGGTTATTTTTGTGACAACATGTTTAGATGTAATGTTGTTAAAGTTAATAACAGTATTTATAGTTCTGCTTATATTGACTCTTGTGATTTATGACATTATCATTTGGGTCATGTTAATTTTGGCAAAAGAATGATATGATGAAACTTGAATTGATTCCAAAAGCTGCTATTAATCATGACTCTTACACTACTTGCATGTTGACTAAAATAACAAGAAAACATTTTCCTAGAGTAGAAAGAAGTTCTAAAATATTAGAATTGATTCATTTTGATATTTGTGATTTGCATGGTTGGCCTACTTTGGGTGGTAAAAAGTATTTTGTGACTTTCATTGATGATTGCACTAGATATTGCTATGTCTATTTAATGCATTCGAAGGATGAAGTCTTAGACAAATTTAAGATCTTTAAAACTGAAGTAAAACTTCAATGTGAAACCTTTGTAAAATGTTTAAGGACGGATAGAGGAGGAGAATATTTTGATCCAAAATATTTTGAGTCTGTTGGCATAATACATCAAGTAACTGCTCCTTATTCCCCCACAAAAAATGGTATAGCTAAAGAAAAATAGAGTTTTAGTTGACATGGTGAATGCCATGTTATTTTACTCTGGTTTGTCTAATGGATATTGGGATGAAGTATTGCTAACTGCATGTTATATATTAAATAGAGTTCCCAATAAAAGGAACAAGATAACCCCATATGAATTATGGAAGAAAAGAAAATCCAATCTCAATTATTTTAGAGTTTAGGAATGTAGAGCAATAGTTAAAGTTCCAGAATGCAAAAGGAAGAAATTGAGTGAAAGAGGAGTTGAATGCATCTTTTTGAGATATGCTGAAAATAGTAAGGCATATCGATTCTTGGTTATTGAACCAAATAATTCATATCTTGTTAATAAAGTCATTGAATCAAGGGATGCAATGTTTCAAGAAGAAAGGTTCAACTCAATTCTTAAATCCAATGGTGTTTTTCATTCCAATGAGAAAACAAATCAAGAGAAGAATGAATCTATTGACAATGACTTAGAAGAAAAAAAACTTAGAAGAAGTAAAAGAGCTAGAAAAGCAAACACTTATAATTCAGATTTCTTCATGTTTCTTGTTGAGGGGTCAAGG